CGTTTGGCTTCACGGTCCCCGTGCAACTCTTTTTGGTTGACGCATTGCCTTCGCGGTCTTTCAGCCAATCGCCAAGGATCGGCAGAATGTCATCATGGACCAAGTGACCAGTGGGAGAATTTGAGTTTTTCGGACGGCCTTGTGAAATTGGAGGCAAAAAAGCATTGTTTCAATTGAGTTCGTAATTCTAATAGAATATAAAACTTTTATCAGAAGAAACCGATGTAAACGTAAACAAACATAAAAGTAATTATTAATTCAGGGTTGCCAAACTCATAGGATTGACAGATTTCGGCTCGTTCGGCACAGCTAAATCACTCGGCACAGATTAAGGTGAGCAGAGTTGAATCGCTTGCAATTTTCATTACGCTGGCAATGGTCATGCGATTTTCCTCCAACGCGAATTTTTTTTCAGATTATAATTTCCTTCTCATTTCACTACGCAACGTTCTTCCTACGGTACTTGGTTGATGAGTAATAAATCAAAGGATGTGATGTCCGGAAAAATTTGAAAACGTCAACTAAAATTGTCTTAGCATTACCATGGACAACAGATAAACTTGGTGGAGGATGACAAATAACAAAAACAACATCTTAACACGATAATGGTAGGAATCAATACCTTGAAATCATAGCTTGCTGTCGTTGATTCATAGCCATACCTACATTTTAACTTAGTATGCCTAGATCCTAATGTTAATCAAATCGGGGGAAAGGTAGCTCATCGATTCTTCCGGTTCGCCTCCTAGCATCGTGCTATAAGGTACCAGGCGATAACCAGGGTAGTTGATCGATAGCTCGATGACGTCATTTCGTTGGCGTCTGCAATGGGAAATTCTCATAGCATGCGTTGACGATGGGACGTTGTCTAGTTGTTGAATAGCAACTATCGTGGTAACTCACCGATTACCTGTCGATCTGCCAAATTTGGAAAGACGTCTGCATTGAATTGTCTCATATAATAATATTCTGCCCCCTATATCACAAGAAATTGCGAGTAGCTGAGTGGAATGGAGATAAGTTAAGCATTGGGTACACGACCAAGTCTCCCCTGGGTGGTGCCAAAAGATGAGCGCAATAGAATCATCAAGTTGCCATAAGGCACGGAATGAGACTATTGCATGGCTGGGTAGTCAAAGTCTTCCATTCGTTAGTCATTTCAGGTGGATTAGAACAGGTTTAGATGGGCATTGGCCAGATTTGGATTTTTCAGATGTAATCCTGGATAGGACCCTGTCATTGAACGTCGCGTGAAAGTGGAACTTAATGGAGGCCTAAGTACTTTTTCGTAGTTTTTAGTTTTCGGATTTGAAAGATCGTCGGTTACAGTGGCCTGCTTACTGAGCCGAAAAAACGCGGTTCAAGGTCCTTACATATCAAAGAGATTTATGGTAAAATCGCTTGTGTATCGTGTATTTTGCGAAACTCGTTGTTGTCGTTGGTTCCGGGTTTGAATGGATACACAAATTTGAGCAACGGTATTATGTGATATGAGGGGCTCGGTGGCCTTAGAGCAACCGCTTTTGCTTACTGAGCAGAACATCATGAGTCTAATCTCAGGCCATTCAAGATTCGTCAATCGTTTTAATTGTTAATATGACTACATGGTAATAACAGGAACTCGGTGATTAAAAAGGTGCTCGTCTGCCTAGTGGCAAACGTTTTTGCTTACTGAGCAGAAGACCGTCCCAAGCTCCTTCGCGTTATATGATCATTAGGACATCAATTTAGCTTATCGTTTACCAAAACGAACCCTGCTGCAAACCCAACCCTCTTATCCAACATCCCAGTGATTCCTCGTGGAAGTGCAGAGGTGTTCTCGGCTTCCATCAAAGCGAGTGTCATGTCAACACAATCCTTCCCATTCCTTTCTTGACCTGTGTTCGGGCGTGGCCGGCGCTGGTATTGCCTAATTTAAGATCACCAGTTTTTACACATTGAGGATGATTGCTAGTCTCAAGCATCGTCTATTGGTTCTCTGTGTAATTACAGCTGATCTGGCAGTAACAGAGTAGCAACCGTGGGCGGTCAATCAAGCTCAAGCTCAAGCTCAAGCTCTATTTTTTATTTGATCAATCGCAACCGCAACATTCAAGCGTTACCGGGTAGGACTTCGCAGTATACAGTAAGAGATCGCAAAATCTGTCACGTTTCCCGTCGTTTCTCCGCTGTGCGCTGAACGAAATTGTGGAATTCGGACACCCCGCACGGATGACGCTACGTATTTAGGTTTTATACTTATGTGAACAATCGTCCACATATTGCACGAGATGATCGGGGATAGGAGTGGGAGAGGTGGGAGTTTCTCTAGATAGGATCCAAACCGAACTAAACCAGAAAGACGATGAAACTAGATCAATTCAAGCTGAACAATGCATTAGATCATAAATAACATCGATCGATTCTCTTAATCGACTTCTCTTTCGTCAATAACTTGGGTACGTTTCTTGTCGTGTTAATCGTATTTGAAGCTAGATAATTGCTTCTTTCGTCGATCTGTGTGTTGAAAATAGCTGGGAATGTCAAGGCCATTTGCCAGTGGTTTGTAATGATTATGCACTAGGTTCAACCTTATTACAATAAGTTAAATATTGAAAACTGGAAAAACAAGCTGAATCCAAATACATCTCGATGTTCGGCAAATCCAAATACTCCTAATAGCGCTTCTTAAGTTGGTGCTCAAAGCCACTTGCCCGATTTTATTTCTCACTGGGAAAACACCGTAACGGCCTTCTTAAATTCCTCTTTTGCGGTTTTGTGGACTTCCGTGTTCCCGCTGCAACTCTTTTTGGTTGACGCATTGTTTTCGTGATCTTTTAGCCAATCGCCAAGGATCGGGAGAATGTCATCATGTCACATGGTCGCATAGTTGGAGAATTTGGGTTGCCTTCGGGATGCGGATTCGAACGGCCTTGTAAAATCGGAGACGAAAAGCATTGTTCTAATTGAGATCGTAGTTCTAATAGAATATAAAACTTACATCAGCATTTGCTGAGCATTTTCCTACCGAGGAACCGATGTAAACATAAACAATCATAAGAGTCATTATCAATGCAGGGTTGCCAAACTCATGGGATTTGACGCCTTGATTGACAGATTTCGGCTCGTTCGGCACAGCTAAATCACTCGGCACAGATTAAGGTGTGCAGAGTTGAATCCTTTGCAATTTTCATTACGCTGGCAATGGTTTTTCCTGATTTTCCATGCGATTTTTCTCCAACGTGAATTTTGTTTCAGATTATAATTTCCTTATCATTTCACTACGCAACGTTTTTCCTACGAAACTTGTTTGATGAGTGATAAATCAAAGTATGTGATGTCTGGAAAAATTTGAAAACGCCAACTAAAATTGTTTTTGCAATAGAGGGTTTGGATCCAATTTTCGTCCTACTAAGCACAACCCACACTTTACCTCTCTTTTCTGAACGAGTTTGAACAAAAAGTGGAATATTTCTGTCAAAGATGACTTTTAAATTTATTCACCTTTCCATACGTACCGTTGGATTTGATAAAGAGTCACAAATTGTTGAGATATTGTTTAAAATCTAATACTGCTTCTTGATTCCAAATTCGTCCTACGAGTTTCAATTCCATCCTAACGCATTGAAACGCCATTAGATTTTCTTCGTCCTACGGATAAACGTAGAATAAGGGGATTCGCAAGGAGCGCTTCTTTTGGTTTGAGAACAGTGAGCGTAAATATTCGTACAATAATTCTAATAGGATTAATGTTATAGCTAATGAACTAACACATCGGAACAAACCTATTATTGATTTGTGCACGGTGAAATCATTGATAGGGGGGGAAATGATTCTAATGTTGGCCTATGGATCTAAGATTGGGCCCATCGCTAAAAATATGCTATTTATCAATTTTATCTAGATGAACGCGTCATTGGGACGGTACTAATGGATATTTTTGGTCGCTATTGAAAATTTAGTCGATAGGCCCACATTACATCCATTTCCCCTATTATTGATCATTTCTGATCGATAGAACGGAAATGGGCGATTACGGCGAAGTAGCGCTGTAACCATGGACAACAGATAAACTTGGCGGAGGATGACGAATCACAAAAAAACAACATCTTAACACCAATGGTAGGAATCAATGCAATCATAGCTTGCTGATACGATTTATCACAAAAAAAAAGCCGCCAGCTGTCGTGTGGAATTCCAATATGACGGAATGCAAAATTTAATTCATAGCCATACCTCCATTTCAACTTAGTATGCCTAGATCCTCATGTTAATCAAATCGTTTCAAACAACAGAGTGGTTGCTCTCAATCTTGCAGATCGTTCGTTTCCATCAGTCACAAACACGTGGTCGCCTTCGTTTGAACGGGGAATCATCTGTCGCCTGCTGGTAGGCAAGCCTCATATCCGTCTAGATGCGTGACGCGTGAGCAAGAGAGAGGTAAAAATTGCGTGCAATTATGGCGCGTTTCCAATTCAAAAATGCGTGCAACTCTGACCGGTTTCCAATTCAAAAACGTGGGGCGAATGAGATTTATTGCAATTTTCATTACACTGGCAATCGTTTTTCCTGATCATCAATTAGATGAATGGTCATGTGTTTGATGCCCTGTTAGGAATGATAGGGAACTACTGATTAACCAAGATCTCTCAGGACTCAGGTTATGCACATTGTGCAGTTTATTGGCAAAATCAGCGCGGGGAGGAGGAAGGAAGAAAAACTCGTATCAGTGTGGTCAAGTCCACGGTTTTATCCGTAGATCTACAGATTTTTAGATTTACTACGGATCTACGGATGGACCATAAAACTCTGCAGATTGTCCAGATTCTTATGGATTGCAGAAGAAATCCTAATGATTCTCACAATTTTACTTCACTCTTCGCTCATCACTTTCAAAAGTCTTAGCTTTTTGAATAACGGTTTTTGGAAATGAGTCATCAGATTTAGCACTAGTGGGAACAATTTTACCTACCTACGGATCGTACTCCGAATTTGTTAATTGACATTAATTTCAAAAACAGACCTGTTCAACTGGCTGATCATGGCACGCAAATGCTACGGCCGCCGACAGGGCATGTGCCGCATCTGGAACGGGACGGCTCCGTACGTGCTCATCTCGAAGGCGGAGATCGTCGAACGGATCCTCAGCAGTAGCACCAACATCGAAAAGGGCCGCGACTACGACTTTCTGCGCCCTTGGCTGGGCAATGGACTGCTCACGTGCCCTGGGAGCAAGTGGTACAAACGCCGCAAGACGCTCAATCCGACCTTCAACTACCGGATGCTGTCGAACTTTTTGGAAGTTTTCAACCGGCAAGCCCGAACGATGGTTCGGTTTATGGAGAAGCAGCTGACGATGGCGGGCGGCGACGGTGGGTTCGATTGTTCGAGATATGCGGCTTTGTGCTCGCTGGATATTCTGTGCGGTGGGTTCTATGTTCTAGAAGATAATTTGAGATTGAAGTAAATTTATTTTATTTTCGTCCAGAGACGGCCATGGGGTGCTCGATTAACGCTCAGGAGCAATTCGGATCAGAATACGTGAAGGCACACGAAGAGTAAGTTCTATCAAATTCAATGCTCAAAAATTAGAAAAATATAACCATTTGTTTTTTCAAAGAATCGGGAAGATCATGCTGGAACGCTTGCGGAAAATTTGGCTCCACCCGGATTTCATTTACCGACGTACAAACTACTACAAACGACAAGTGGAATGTCTAAAGGTTCTACACGATTTCTCGGAGAAAGTCATACAACAGCGACGCATTCAACGAGAGTCCTCGCTGATAAACGAACAAAACGACGGACACTCCAAAGAGATAGGCAGCAAACGCCATCTGGCGTTCCTGGATCTTCTACTGGAAGCCTCCCAAGATGGTCAACCTCTCAGTGATCGCGACATCCGCGATGAAGTGGATACCTTCATCCTGGGAGGTCACGACACCACAGCTACCGCAATCGGATGGCTGCTCTACCTGTTGGGAACGGATCTCCAGGTGCAGGATCGTGTCTTTGAAGAAATCGATTCCATCATGGAGCACGATCGCGACCGATTTCCCACCATGAGCGAACTCAACGAGATGAAATACCTGGAGTGCTGCATCAAGGAAGCTCTCCGGCTGTTCCCCAGCATTCCGCTGATAGCGAGAAGACTAACCGAAACAGTCACCGTTGGAGAGTACACCATCCCCGCCGGAACCAATGCCGTGATCGTTGTCTACCAGCTGCATCGGGATACGGAAGTCTTCCCGAACCCGGACAAGTTCAATCCAGATCGGTTCCTCCCGGAAAACGCTCAAGGACGCCATCAGTATGCCTACATCCCATTCAGTGCCGGGCCACGGAACTGCATCGGCCAAAAATTTGGCCTCCTCGAAGAGAAGGCCGTGACGGTGGCGGTTCTACGGAAATATCGAATCGCATCGCTCGATCGGCGAGAAGATCTAACCTTGTACGGCGAGCTGGTGCTCAAATCGAAAGACGGACTACGAATTAGCATCTCCCGGAGACAATAGCCTAGAATTGATTGCTTGAATAAAATCTGATCAACTGTAGCTGTACACTGCGAAAAATTCATTTCAATACGTTAAAGATGGATTACGTCCCGTTTAAAAATAGTTATTTCTAAGTGTGTGGCGTTAATCTTTGCCCAAGAGCTCCGATGGGCTTCAATTCTGAGTGCGAGGTAGCTGTCAAGTTCAAGTCTATCTGCTTGGAACGTGTCGCTTCGATTAGAGGATCATTTAGCACCTTTGAACTGGTTTTTGATTCACACACCGACTTCCACCCGATCAGCTTTGCCTGTATGCAGGAAGGAAATACTTCTTATCGATGGGGTGCTAAACTGTCTGAAGATTACGGTAGATGCGAAGACGGTTGTGAAGGTTGTGACTGTTTTGCTTGAATGATCACCGGCAACTGACATGTGCCCGGCGTCAAATCAGGCGTTGGGGGTTCTTGGCAACAAATGCGATCGATCATACTTATCCGAAAGTGGAAAACAAGTCTTTGTTTTGAATCGGTAAAATCCCGACACGATCCACTTTCAAGGGCTCTAAAAAAAAACATCGAAAACTGAACTTAGCCTAAGATAGGAAACCTAGAAGCCTAATGAACTATGAGGGCAAAGCACCATTTTAAACATGCCGGAATGGATGAGGAAATAGAATCATTTCATGGGCTTCACAATTTAACCCCTATGAGCAGCTTGTATCGCCAACGAAACTGATTTATTGGGGCAAAGTCATATACATCCAGTTCTTCGCTCTTCCAGCGACTCAATACCAGTAAGGTGGTAGACCTCAGAATTTTGCGTCCGTGGAGGGCTGTTGAGGATCATCCTTAAGATCTTGTTCTAGAACCTTTGAAGTTTAACTCCCCCAAATTGGCATATCATACTCGATTACGGGAAGGATGATTTGCTTGTAGACAGCAATCTTATTTTTCGGGGACAGGGTAGACCTCCTGTGGATGAGTGGATACAATGATCTTATCTAGATGTTGCACTTGGTTTTTGTTTTGTCAACGTGCTCCCTGAAAAGCTGCCCACTGTCAAAAGTCAGTCCAAAGAAGACTACCTCTTTGGACCATTCCACCACTGTGCCGTTTAGGCAGATTTTTTTTATTCTCAGGCGAACAAGTCTGGGGGATTTTGAGTGTGGAAAAATTATCACCTGGGTCTTCACCACGTTGATACGGATCTTTCAGCTGTTGAAATACTCAGACAGGACATCCAAGCCTCTCTGGAGTTTGGTAGTCAGAGCTCCGATGACCCGGGTAGGCCTACCCTTGAAGACAATGGATGTGTCTTCTGCGAACAGAGGCAAAGATCCACCATCAGAAGGCGGAATATTGGAGGTGAATAGAATGAACAGGATGGGCCCAAGGATGCTTCCTACACACTTAGATTTTTTTTGCCGAGATGGGCACCACCGAGCAGCTCGGCATTTTATTTTGCTGAAAATTCAGCAAAAAAATATGTTTGTTAGCTGAGATCTCGGCAAAATTCCCGTTTGTTAGCTGAATCTCGGCAAGTTTTTCACTGAGAACCAGCAAAATAAAATGCCGAGCTGCTCGGTGGTGCCCATCTCGGCGAAAAAATCTAAGTGTGTATGGGGCACACCTGCACCGATGTTGAAGGCATCCGATGTGATGTCATTCAGAGAGACCTGGAACGTCCAGTCTTATAGATAATTTTGTATGATCTTCACGATGAAGATCGGAGGACCGTATCGATGCAACTTGTACACCAGGCCATCATGCCAGACATTGTCAAACGCTTTTTCAACGTCTAACAATGCCATAGCATGTTTTTGGGATTCGGTTACCGGAACGGGACTCGAAAGAAAAACGAGAGAACTACTTGTGCTAGAGCTTTATTGAAACACGTCTTGTTCGTACGGTTTACACGTTAGGAATTATGAAAAAATTAGTCCTCAAACAAATTCGTTGCTAGGGAAAACAAGTTGCTAGGCAGGGTGGTCTGAGAAATCAGAATAGCCGATTGCTACTTTGATAACACCCCCTCTCAATCCGCTATTCCGAGACGTTTTCCAAGTTTGTCTAGGCGACCGGCTTCCATCGGTTTGGTGAAGAGGTCCGCCAGTTGATCGTCTGTCCTCACGTATTCCACCTTCACGCTTTCGTTTGAGATGTGCTCCCGGATAAAGTGATGCTTCACATCAATATGCTTCGACCGTTTGGATTCACAGTTTTTGGCCATCCCAATGCAGCCTTGGTTGCCCTTATAGATTGTGACCGGTTCACGAGTCTGCAGCTTCAAGTCTTCTAGGATTCCATACAGCCAAACTGCCTCCGATACCGCCGAGCTCAGGTCGATGTATTCAGCTTCGCTTGACGATGTTGAAACCATGTTTTGCTTCTTGCTTGACCAACTAATCAAGTTGCCGAACACGAAGAATGCAAAGCCACTTACCGACTTACGGTTCGATTCGGCGATACTGCAAGCATTTGGTTTTTGTCCCCTTGATGTACCGAACCACACGTTTCAAACTCTGCCAATGTGGTGCTGTTGGCTTCTGCTGGAATCGTCCTAGGAACCCTACTGGATAGCAGATATCCGGTCTAGTACACAGCATCAAGTACATTAACGATCCGAGAAGTTGCCTGTAGGGCTGGCTTGTTAGCTCTCCTTTTCTCGTCAACTGGGTTCCTTTTTTCCATTGGACACTTCACTGGATTGCAATCCGCCATCTCGAATCTTACCAAGAGCTTGTCCCGAGGGGGGCGACACATCTAAATCTCAATCATAGATGCTCGAAAAATCTCACGTCAGCGAATAAATCTACGAAAAATCTTCTTGCCACATTTTAAGCATCTAAATCCATCTACTCGCATCGACTTCCATCTTTTTGCAGGAAATCTTTAAAATCTTCATCAATCTTCTTAAAATCTACTCATCGTACGCCCAAGCAGCACACTTCGATCGAAATAAGCTGCTGCAACTTGCTTGTGACTGGAATAAGTGGCACACAAGTAACCGCAATTGTTCAGTGACATGTGTGCTGCTAGGGCGTGCAGCTAAGCACAGCAAAACAAAATCGTTTCTGCATCGAAGATAGAGTCGCCCCCCTCGGCTTGTCCACATTTGCAGCTTGCGATAGTTGCATGCGTCTTTATCCAACATCGTAGTCCACACGTATACCAAGGAAGTGCGCAACTGCTCCACAGTCAGACATTGCAAATGTTGCCGTCAATTGCTTCTTCAGCTTCATAATGCTTTTCAGATTCCTTCCGCATATAAAGAGCTTCGCTACGAACCAGAGGGAAGCGTCACGTTCGCTGCTTGGTACACCAGGTACGACGACCTGTTTGAAAAAGATGCTGCTCGCCTAGACGATGAGGCCAAGGTCCGCTTGCTCATGTGGAAACTGGGTGCTGCGGAACACGAGCGATACGTAAGTTTCATCATACCGAAGGTTCCGAAAAACTTTCCGTTCGGTGACACAGTAAAAAAAACTGTGCAAATTGCAAAATTGCAAAGCAACCTACCGAAGATTTAATTTCGTTTGCCTGTCGAATCAACAAGAGCTGTGTTAGGTTCGAATTGAGCAAGATGACCGAAGAGCAATTCAAATGTTTGATGTTTGTTTGCGGTCTGAAATCGGAGGGAGATAGCGGAATACGAACAAGATTGCTTTCAAAGATAAAGGAGCGGACGGACGTCACACTCGAACAACTGTCAGCGGACGGTCAACGATTATTGTGTCTGAAGCATGATACGGCAATGATCGAATCGCCAACGTCAGCAGCAGTGCAGTTCGTCAAACGTAAGCAATTCAACAAGTATCCACCGAAGCCCAGCATCGGATCCGCTGGAACCGGAACGAAACAAGCCAGGAACGTACCAGCATCACCCTGCTGGAACTGTGGAGCAATGCACTTTAACCGGGACTGCACGTATAAGCAACACAAGTGCAACGATTGCGGTCTCTTCGGCCATCGTGAGGGGTATTGCTCGAGCGTTCGGAAAAACCCCAAATCATCGGCTTTCAAGTCGAAAGGCCGACCGAAAGCTGTCTCAACGAAAACAGTAAGTCTTCTGGTAAATACCGTTAACAAAAAGCGTCGTTTCGTTCAAGCTCAAGTCAACGGAGTGGATGTACGTCTTCAGTTAGACACTGTATCTGACATCAGTGTTGTGTCGAAGCGGATCTGGGAGAAAGTTGGCAAGCCACCGATAATGCCATCTACGGAACGAGCCGCTATAGCGTCAAGAGATCCGGTAAAGCTACTTTTCAAGTTCGTCTGCACCGTATCAATCAACGGTGAGCAACGCCAAGCACAATTCTACGTGGTGGAGAAGTCCCTTCAGCTGCTAGGGATCGACATGCTCGATGCTTTCGGATTGTGGTCTGTGCCTATCAATTCCTACTGCAACCGTATCACCAGTTCTTCTACCACTGTGGACACCCTCAAGGCGGCATTTCCGGAAGTCTTCCGAAGTGAACTTGGATTGTGTACAAAACTCAAAACTCAAGCTAGAGCTCAAGCAAGATGCAGTTCCGGCGTTTCGCCCTAAACGTCCTGTGGCTTACGCCATGTACAGCGCGGTGGATGACGAGTTGGACAGATTGGAGCGCGCCAAGATCATTTCACCGGTTGATTTTTCCAACTGGGCGGCCCCGATTGCAGTCGTCCGCAAGGCCGACGGCTCCATACGGATTTGTGGGGATTATTCTACCGGCCTCAATGATGCCCTGCAGCCGCATCGGTACCCTCTCCCGTTACCGGTAGACATTTTCGCCAAGTTAGCCAACAGCACCGTGTTCAGCCAGGTAGACCTTTCTGACGCCTTCCTCCAGGTGGAAGTCGACGGATGTAGTCGGGATCTTCTTGCCATCAACACCCACCGAGGATTGTACCGCTATAACCGTCTACCACCAGGAGTCAAGACAGCACCAGGAGCATTCCAGCAGCTGATAGACACCATGTTAGCTGGTCTCCCGTGCACTTCTGGTTACCTTGATGACGTGGTTGTTGGCGGAAAAGACACTGAGGAGCATTGGACCAATCTTCGTGCAGTGTTGG